GAGCTCGGTTACAGAAAAAGTGAAATATCACAGGTAAGTATTTTGTGGTACACTGAACTTTTTGAATCCTCACTGGGATCCTTTTCCAATGAGAAGAGAAACTGCTGAGCTTTGATTAGGTATTCTAGGTGCTTCAAAGAGAAGGTTGTTCTTGTGGTTAAATGACACAGGCACCAAAATCCCCAAGCACATGTGCAACTTCCTGAACTTCAACTCTGCACCTCCAGGGAGCGCGGGCCAAAAAGGATGTGAGACCAGCCAAAAAAGAGGTGTTCTTGGCTCCAGAGAGCACTTTGCACCTATTCAGAAAGAGAGTTTGGAAGGTTTTTCACAAATGTAGGCAAGCAAGTCACTCAGGCTGCGGGCAGGCAAAGTATTTGTAGTATTCTTTTAACCACTTATCTTCAGACCATGCTCCTCTCACTGGGAATAATTAATAAACCCCTGTGGAAGTCTACAGAGACTCAAATAAAAACACTATGCAACATCAAAACAGCTGCTTCAGGGGTCAAAGTAGTTCTCGGTTGCTCAGTTTCAAAAATTTTCTCTAGTAAAGATGATTTTTTCAAAAGAAAAGCTTAGCACTTTTCTGTGCAAAGGAAATACTTGATTTTTGCAATCTTTAAATCTCTGCATATCGCTGTTTAGTTGATACTCTTGGAAAACACATTTTCTATGGTATTATAATATAAACTTTTGTTTGTATTACTTTAAATTCTAAATACATTATTGAAATAAGCAGGAAATGGTAAACACATACTTAATTAATTTAATTTCTTAAAAACTGCATTTCTTCCCCACCTAACTATCTATATATGGGTGAAAAATAGGTTCATGTGTCCATAAACTTACAGTTTATACTTTTTCCCATTTAATTAAAAATGACTCTTCTCAGACAGCAGATTTTTTTTTGTCTTTGTATCTCTACTTCAGATGTTTCCTGTCTTCTTCCTTACACAATCAACGTATCTGCTACACCAGACCACTGGCAAAACTAAACTCAAGGAGCATATAAACCTTTTTTGGTTTAACATGCTAACGAAAAGAATAATGATTTTCAGTTGCTGGAAGAGATGATTTATGGTCTTAAGAAATTATGAACCACCACAGAAAGTTCACTGCCAAACTGATTCAGGACTTCCTGAAGTCTGTGGGAGCTCTTCTATTGATTTAGATGGGCTTTGGAGCAGATCCTACACTTAAAAATAGGACTACTGTGTATTACAGATGGAGTAAGGAGCAAAATACATCTCAATAAATATAAAAACGGAGGGGTGACACTTTAAACAAAATTTCCTCTGTAAGCACCTTAGTTTTACCCTTCAATGCAGTATCTTCTTGATTACAACATGTTTATAATCTTACTTGACAGAAAGAGTCAATAAGGCTAGGTCTTAAAATAAAGCAATGAAAGTGGCATGATGCAAACTTAAAAAGTTAAGTGCTGTAGAGAGCTTCTATATGGAGATATCATTATCCATCACAGGCACGCCAATGAACGCCCAACATAACCATTCTCTCTTTCCTTTTTGAATTTTTATTCTATTTGTAAAAGCTCCGTGATGCTTAATGCCCATTTATCTTTTAAGAATACAGAATTACACCCACTTCCTTTTGTGCAAGAATTACAATGAACTTCCTCTAGTGCAGTAGTATCTTTGCCTCCAGTTTCTGTTAGGAAAGGGAGTTGGTGCTATTACAGTGAAAGAAAGTAGCTCAGATGTCTTAGACACAATCAGCTATTGATAATAAACCATCAAAGCTGAGCAAATCTTGTATCAGTATCACCTACCTTATTTGTCTGGATTTTAGGATTTACCAGAACTCCCTGTGTCATTGCAACAAGAAGCCGACATTCGTGTAGTGCTTGATCCTGACAAATAGCTTTATAACTAATATTTTAAATGCTCTATCATATATCACTTTGTTAGCAGACAGGTCTCCATCCTTCTCATCCAGTTCCGCTGCTATTTCATGTGCACAACTCCTGTCTTTAGAAGATTGCAAGTGAAATACTTCACTTCATTATCCAAAGAATATTCCAGCTCCCATTCTTTCAACATAAATCTCAGCAATTAGCATTGTTAGACTAAGAATCTGGGGTCTGGAGATAAAATTTATCCTGGTCCCTAACTAGTAATAATTATAGTTAAACCTGGGCATGGAAAGATTGGAATAATTTAGTGTCTCTTCTTCTTCAGATCACAGAATGCAAATAAGATCCAGAAATAACTTTACTATTCCACAGCAGCTGGCAAAGTCAGGTGTTAAGATTGGCTTTTAGCATACGATCACAGTGACTACTAAACAGTATAATTTTTTTGAAGTGACAGCTTGCCAGTTCTATAGCAACTTGGACTATAGTTCCTGTTTTTATAAACTTCCAACCTTTATAAATTAAGCCCATTTTCATTGTCAATATACTTCAAATTTAACATAATGCCAACTCAAAAATTCTTCCTTAATTCTTACATTCCCAGAAATCACTAGAAGATGAAAAAAGAGAAACATTTAGCTTCATTTTTAGACCTGCTTTTTCTTCCGTTTGTCAACTGCTTATAAGCTCACTTCAACTTTTTGTTTTCTCGAGTATGTTTGCCACTTTAAAAGTATGAGAACATAGAAGAATCAATAAAAGAAAGTTAACACAGGTTTCAAAAAGTTCCTGCCTGCCAAGGCCATGCTTAGATTGACAGTCAACAAAAGCACAGATGAAGCAGACTAAGACACCTGCAAACTCTTACTGTTGGCTATGGGCCTTCATTCAGTACAAGAAATAAGTATTTTTGTAATGTGAAGCATCTGAGTTGACCACCTGAAGTCACTGGAGCTGCAGCTGATTGTCACCACTATCCTCCTCACCCAAGGAAGCTTTTATACTGACCTTCAAGCACGTGTACTTGCGATTAACATTTTTACGAGCATCTCAAGTCCTGCTTCTGCAAACTCTTCACTTTTGTACCCTGACTAACGTGGTAACCTACAGTCTTACCCCCAGTTTCAGGGCACTAACAGGCCTTACCAGCCCTGCACGGGACTCCAACCCACGCTCCCTGCCCATGGCTCCAACGTCTCCATCTCTGCGCCTTTAGTCTCTGCCTCTCAAGCTACATTGTAGGAGTACTTGTCTCCAGCCCTGGCCCTGTGTCCTAGAGTGACATCAGACCTACACTGTCCATAGCTTGTTGCCTGGACAGATCCCACCTTGCCGCTTGCCTTCCATCACGTCTTTGGCCATGCCTCCTGGATGGACTTTGGACCCATGTTGTAGCCTTGTCTCTAGTCCTTTCTTTGTCCCTGTCTCCTTTTCCTCCTGACTAGATTCTCTGGAGGGATGCTGGATGTGGTTCATTGCTTTGCCTTGTCTGGGAGAGATGATGGACCCTGCTACATTGCCCTGCTTGGGTGCTGTGGGACTGGACCCTGCTTGGTGATGGCACTGGGGGTCACCCTCAGCTTACAGCTCCCTTTCCCTCAGGGAACAAGCAGACCTGGCAGCTCCATGACACTTGGAGAGGTGATTCAGTCAGTAAAACCAACCATTTTCCTTGAATTAATTTGGCTTTGGATCAACCCATGGAAAGTTTTGTGTAAGACAATGAGAATATTTGCAGTCTGCAAGATCAGCCCTTCAGTTTCTTCACTGACATTCTCCCCAGTGTGCAGGAGAACTCTGAATGCTCTGCAATAAAAATGTGAAAAACCAGGTATGCTTAGTGCAGTGTAGTGTTCCTTGTTCTTGTGTGTTATTTCAACTCCTTTAAAAAAAAACAGAACTGAAACATCTGAACATACCTTTCAAAGTGCAGAGAAGACAAATGGGATAAGTAAAAAATAAATCAATTTTTAGCCAAAAAAGGGAGACTGATTTATGAAGTGAACTTTGTACCATATCTATTTACAAGGCAGAAAGTAATCTTTCTGAAATCTAGGACCTCTGTCCTAGAAAATTCCATTCTCCAAGGAAAACCTCTGCCAATGCAAAGTGCTGGAATCATTCTTCCAGCAAAAAGACAGGAATGATACAAAAAAATGGAGAGAAGGAAGGGGACATAGTAGAATAATATGTTATACTGATTATCTACTCACACAGAGGCTATACCAATAGTAGTTGATTAAATGTGACAGTTTTCTGGCTCATAAGCCACCTGGAATTGTCTGACCATGGCCACGCTATTAAATTCTCTCAGCATCCAAAACAGGGTGACCACATCAAAACTCCAATTAGGGACAGTTCCTGGGCTGTGCCAACCCCTGAACCGTGCCTGGGAATTGACTGGGAGGATGCTATCAGTCCAGACCAAAACTGTACCAGGATCTCTTCCAACAATAAATCTGTACAGACAAGAAAGTTCAGTGCAGGAGAAAGGTCCCCAAAACAACTTCATTTACTTGCATAGCAGTAGCTCCCATCTCTGAGGAATGCACTTTCTGCATCTTTCTCTTACACCACAGTCGAATGGCTGAAACTGTGGAGCCACAGTAATTTTGCTGACTCTCTATCATGTTCTGATGCCATGGAAAAATCAAGCCTGCAGAATCCCATGATAGTAACTGACACCACACAACACAGATGGCACATGTTCTGCTTGACCTGTCCAGCAGCAAAGTCAGAGGATTTGGTCAATCAGCCTGCACTCATGTCCTGCCAGATCTGTCTGATGAGAAGCCAGGTAACTTCTGGCCTCACTGGGAACCACATCTCAGGCTTAGCCAGAACACGGACTGTTTCTCCTCCACCAAAGAAAACATACCAGATGGGATACTACATCTGATAGAGGTGCATGCTACATCTACAAAAGTGTGGATCAATGATATTTTAATTATCAGTGAAAAAAAAAAAAACCCCTTTAATGGCTTCTCCAAAGTCAATGGAATGACACTAACATGAAAGCAGAATCAAGCCTGCTGAAATTCTGGTTTTGCACAAATATAACTGGATCTAATATTTCTTCATGCCTGTGGGCTTCCCATGAAAACTCTAAAGATTAAATAGTTACCTTCTTTAAATTTTGCTTTATGGTTGTACTGTCTCTCTCCACAACCTTCATCATTTCTTGACTTGCCATATACAAGATGTTGGCTGCAGAAAAAGAAACATTCAATAATGTAATTACACATCAAATCTTTTAAAAAAAACAACATGAGCCCAACCCTGCAAAAGGTAAGGTACCTGGAGCAGTCATCATCTTGACAATCTCACTGAAAATATCACACTGACAGAAATAGCAGAACTTAACTAAGTGAATCAAAATGCATATAGACTAAGTTAAGTCACTCCCTATTAATTAATTCCATAATTAATGGAAAGGGAAAGACATCTTTGGACCATAACACCATCCATCTACCTCACAGACTTTTGAATCAGTCCATAATGATGATGACTCTCTCTCTACTGACCAGACAGAGAGAGTCATGATGATGACTCTCTACTGAGCAGAGGAGGAACTTTGATGACTACCTTTTACTACATACATTTAGAAAGGTAAAGGTGAGCATGATAAATCACTCGTGAAGTGTTTGCAAGAGTGGGCTTTTAAACACAAAGCATACATTAAAAGGCATTATTAATCAATAGATTATTAAATTATTGACGTTTCAATATGCAAGTCATTCAAATATTCAACATAACAAATAATAAAAATAATGGCAAATACAAGTATCACTGAAAACTACAGTCCTGCATAATATTCATGGTACTTACTCAGACAGGATTGGACTGGACACCAAATGTCTAAGCCTTACCTTTCTGGAATGTAATGCATTAAAAATGGCTCAGTGCAATTTGTTGTGAGTTAAGTCTGCAAGATACTGTCTCAGAGACATAAATGATTGAGTCTAATGTTTGGACACCTAATTAAAAGCAGTCTAATTTTATGAGGTGTTGAGTTCTGGCAGGTCCCATGCATGTTAGACAGTGGTGGGAACTAAACATTTCTGAAAAGTGGGTCAGTTTGCCTGGATGCCTAAATATTCCTAAATTTAAACATTTTGACACAGAAGGATCACACTGTGTCCCCCTTGCCTGCCTTCTGTTACAACAGAGTCTACAGAAGTTTGGAAAGAAATTTCAGCCCACAGTCCAAAACCTGTTTTTGAACAACCTGATTATGAGTTTTCCTGCTAGATTAAACCTCATGAATTCCACTGCAGAATCAAGAGTTGCTACATGACCATCAATGTTGCATTATGTCTGCAGATAGTGAGAGGTCCTCCAAAGGGTGTTCAGACTAACCCAGTTTTAACAGGGGCTATCCATTTCTGATATCAGTGCTGTACTGAAGAAATGTGCAAACATCACTATCCAAAGGGTTACTGCTTCTTTTACCCTTTTTTTCCTGCCCAGTCAGCTTACTGGGCTAGTAAGATGGCTAAGCCTCTCCTGTCCTCACAACCTGAAGCCTCTGTGCTTGCTGGATCACAGAGACATTCACAACCTCTACGTGGGAATGAAGGGCAATATTATTCTCCTTTCTTACCAGTTTGCAGTAACAATAGAAGACCCTGAATGGTCAAATTACCTTAAAGCATTTCAATTTCCAGGTCTAAGAATGACTGAAAGTATACTAAAATACTAATCCTCTCCTGAAATTTTAAAAAACATCTGAACCAATGAAGTTTTGTGCACAAATAGTTACTGACAATGTTGGATCTGATACTGCTCTGAGACAGGAGTAATATATTCTCACAATGTGTGATAGGGGAGGAAATGGCAATCACATAGGTCTTTGGTGGTGACCAAAACATGGTATTGGCTGAATTCCAGCAGTGCTCTAAGGAAATAGAACACCACCAGAGAGATGAGTGATGGCTCCAGAGATCAAGTGTTAAAAGACAAAGCCAGTGCTCTCAAGTGAAAAAAAAACCCAACAAAACCTAGAAAGTAGTATCTACTTTTGAGCCAGCCAAAGAAGATGTAATTCAGTTATACGCCTGCAGAGCTTTGCCTTTTTCAATTAAATATTGAACACAGCTAGTGCAAGTTCTTCCTTTCCTAGACAAGACTTAAGGGTTGCAGATGTGACATCATACAGACAACTCAGCAAACTTGCTGGTCCCATCCTATTCTACTGGGCAAAGGGGCCTCCATGCAGTTTTGTTTCTAGCAACATGGCCATCTAATCCTGTGGTGCAGCTGGCGAGTTTGTCCATCTACAGCATTGTTAAGTTCATGCCCTGACACTGGTCTTCTTTTTTTTTAATTCAGCTCCAAACACCAATGCATTATACACCTTTATTTTTAGAAGGACACATATCTTAGAATGCACCTTCAAAAATCATCTAGGAAAACCTTAAATGAGAAATATGAAATTAGGAACTCCATAGGCATTTAATTTCAGATTCCTGTTTCTGCTGTGGCAAATATGACTTTAATGCTCAAAACTCCTACCTATAAATGAAGCTATCTGTCTGTCTAAAGCACTGCTCTGTGTCAGAAGGAAAGGTAGAACACAGAGAGCAGCCCTTGCTACCCTAGGTGCTGGTCCTTCAGGTGATGGATGTGGCTTACCATGGATTTACAAGATTTCACAAAGCACTAAGTGCATGAGCCTGGATTTGGCAGGGTACCTGTGGTGACAGCACTTGTACCCAACTCATTGTATGAGGATTTTAGTATGCCAGGCCATCTATTTTCCATCTAATTAGGTTCTTGTTAGTAGGGCACGGTGGATAGCCTACCTGCAGTCAGAACTTTTGCCATTACCTTGCAGCATCAGCAGTGGACGGTAGGCAGGGATGAAAATACTGGTGGCCATCAGTGCAGAACCTGACACAGGCCAGTTCATTCAATGTTACTGGGATTCTGCAGACAGCTCTCCACCTCCAGTTCAGTCATAGAGCAAAAGGGGGAACAGTAAGTACTCCCCTGCTCCCCCTCTCCCATCTCACTGGTTTCTTTGTCCTACCTCTTGTTCTTGGTGGGTTCTGCTCATATTTCTGAGTTGCTTGTGTGGCTTTTTTGCAGTAAAAAATAAGAAATGAAGTGGAATTCACACACTTAGTAAACTTAGACTAATCATAAAGCTCCTAAAAATAAAACTGTAAGGCAGCAAAGGCAATAATGACAGTACTTTAAAAGGAATTGTCTCTGAAAGCTTGTGTACTGTGCAAGAAAGGGAACCAGGAAGGCAAGATTAAGCTAAACCGGATGAATGGCAAGGTTCAAGAGTCTATTTCAACCAAACAGAAATCCTTCAAATTTTGGAAACATGATCCTAGGGAAGCCAATAAACAGGAACTTAAACTTCAGCAGGCGTTAAGTAAGAGGAAATTGCAAAGAGCAAAAGTAAGATTCCAAGAACAAACACTAAAAGATTTAAAAATAAACAATAAAATATTCCTTAGGTATAACAGAAACAAAAGGCCTACAACAGAATTTGTACAGGCTAAGGGAGTAGCTAAAGAAGATAATTACACTGTTTGGAAGCTAAATGACTTTCCTCTTTTTGCATCTAACTGTCTTGTTCAATACATTCAGGAGGTTTTTGCTCTCTGCATTATTTTTCAGGCAATAACAATTTCTCTTTGAGTAGTGAGGTATCAAGAAGTAACAACACTGGAGAATACAGAATATATCAGGGCTAGAAGGTACATTAAAGAGTTTTAAAGAACCTTAAATACAGAATTGTTGAGTTAATAACAATCCTGTTACTTAAGAATCACCTTGTTCTGTGGTTTTGGGAATAGAAAATACTGTCTAATCGCTAAAGATTTTACAAAGAAAAACAGCATTTTACTGATCTATAATTTCTTGAACACTTCAATAAACATAACCAGATGACAAAAATTACTGGTCTTCTAAAAGCTCTTTGACACATTTCACACGATAAACTTTGGTTGAAACTAAACTGCTGTAAAACAAAAGGTTGTAATGTGTTAAGAAATAGTCTGGATGGAAAGAAAAAATATTAGGATTAGATTAGATTAGATTATCTGGTTTTCACAGCAAAGAATAAGGTCTAGACTTATCATAAATACAAAAAATGCAGTGATTACTATTAAAATCTCTTAAATACTCATTGAAAACACCTGGTGATTTGGTTATTTCTGGGGTGAGTTACATCACCTCTCAAGATTACTCTTTTCAGTGACAAAGCCTTTACACTTTAACTTGAATTAAGTGCCTAAACTGAGGTGGGATAAATCCTGGCATAAGATCCTAGTCCAGCTTCATATTAAAATCATGGGTAACTTCTTTCTTAATGATCTGGTCAACAGATAAGTAGTTTATTGATAGCATTTGCACAGGACACAATGCTAGCCAGTTTGTGAGGAACAGGCAGCGAGAAATGTGAAAGAGACCTTAAAGAGAAGAGAGAAAAAAATCAGTGCACTAGCAAATGGAATTCAAATGGAAGAAATGGTAAGCAACATACATGTGGGAAAAAAAACCAAAATATTCTTACAAGTTTCTAAATGAATGCAAAGAATGGAATCAGAAACCAGAGATCCCCAAGATCTGTTGGGGATCTCTGGTTCACTGTGCACACTTACTCAAAATTCTGAAAAAATAATATATTATGTTTTATAAATAAAAGGAGGATGATGATACAGAATTCTGCAGCACCATTAGAGAAATCACATAACATGACCACACCTGAAGAAATGTGTATGCTGCCTGTCACAACCTCTGTGGGACACTGCAAAACTGAGAACGGTGGTGAAAACAAAGCAGTACAATTAAAGATGTGTTGTTGCCACGATGTTCATCATAATTCATGATACAGTTTTTCCCTCTCTTACAGCACAATACATCAAAATGCAAAACAATAAAAAGAAGTACTTTTAAAACGTCATATGCAATTAACTGTGACCCTTACTGCCACAGGAAAATGAAAAACGTACATATTTGTTGCATTGACATCTAAGCTCCTCTAACTGTAAATGCAGTTAATGCAATTAATCTTAGGGCAAATATCTATGAAGGTCAGATAACTTATACTTCCAATAACCTCTCCTTTCAGGTACTGTTCTCTGGGTCTGCTATCATTCTTGCTTGGTTTCCTCTGGATATGTCCAGTGGCTCATCTCTCTCTTGAATTTTATTAACACATTACTTCAGCTCATGCTAGAGAGTTCCTC